TCACTTAAGTGATCCCTCACACAGTCCTCCTCGACCAAGGGAAAGTCGTGCTCTTTGTAGGCTTCTTCTCTTACCTCCGGGGCCTGGGATTCCTGAGGGCCAGTCTTAGCACTGAAGACTGAAGCAAAGAAGGCATTCATTAGCTCTGCCTTCTCCGCATCCTCCGTCACCAGGACACCCTCCTCATTCAGCAGCGGCCCCACGTTGTCCCTAGCCTTCCTTTTGCTGCTGATGTAGTTGAAGAAGCCCTTCTTGTTGTTTTTGACATCCCTTGCCAGCTTCAATTCCAGGTGGGCCTTGGCCTTCCTCGTCGCATCCCTGCATGCTCTCACCACGTTTCTGTACTCTTCCCAAGTGGCCTGTCCCTCTTTCCACATTCCATGGACCTTTCTCTTCTGCCTGATCTCCGCTAGAAGCTCCTTATTTAACCATGCAGGTCTCCTGCCTCCTTTGCTCGATTTCTTTCTCAGGGGGATGCATTGCTCCTGTGCATGGAAGAAGTGTCGTTTAAAGAGCGACCAGCACTCATGGACCCCCCTGCCTTCGAGAGCCACTTCTGTTCAAATCGGATGTAAAGCCCAAGAAATGTGCTGTTCCAAAGCAGGGCTGCTTTCCTGTGCATTTTTTACCTTTGTAATTTATGTATCTTCCGAATTTTAAATTATCACATGAATTTCTGTTAAGGATGCTACATAAATCTTATCTCTGCTAGGTAAATACTTGATTGTCAAGGGCAAAAATAAAAATTAAAGAACTAGAAAAAAATTCTAGGCAAAATGAGAGGTGCAGCAAGGATATTATTGTTTTGCTATCAGTTGTGTAGCAATTGGCACAAGGCATTGTTTATCAAAAGGCAAGTAGTCCACGCCTGGTCATTCATAGGATTGTTTTGTGGTGTGTGGAGATGTTGCATCTTTGTTTCTTTTAAGCCAGTCTAAGATTGTTTTCCATTTGTACAGGTCAGTAATGATTTGACTTTTAAAATTTGATCCTGTGGGAAGAGACCTGAACTGGGGATTTGCGGACGAGGGGAAATCTGAACAAGAATATTGATTATTATTTTACTTGTAGGTAACAGCTGTGGCACTGGAATTGTACTGCAATGACCGAAGTGCAGAATACGAGCGCCGGGCACTAAAGGAAGGAGGATGTCTTGAAGCAAAGCAGTGTGTACTCAATGGAGCTCCTGAGCTAGCAGCTGACTGGCAGAAGCAATGCTCCCAGTTCTTCCCAGAGTATCCAGGAGGGCTGTTAGGAATCAGGCCGCAAAATGGCTGGTCTTTTATCAGGATACCGGGTGAGTTTGGAGGTTGTCATGGAGAGATGAGATAAATAAGGACATCTGCTCTTTGGTGGTAATTATGCTTGGTTATGGGCTTTTTGTAAGGGCTGGGGGTGGTTGTGTGCTTGTTTTTCCTCCTGAGTGAAAGTTAACCCTGGTGTCGTAAAATACACGGTGATTTCACATCCTCTGTCTGGAGTAAAGCTGTCGGTGGACACTGGACAAATCTAATACAAACTGTTCTAATGCTCACAAACCTCTCTTAGCACGTCAGCCCACCAAATGACTGCGAAGAGGTGGATTTGCTTACTAAAGCAGAGTCTGCTTTCACAACCAAATGGAGGTTGGAGATAGAAAGACTGCAGGAAAAGTAACAGTCTTACCTTGCTTTCTAGTGTGTTGGAAGACCTTCGTATTGACCTAAGAGATCTTTTTTTAGTCTTCTTAGTGAAAGGATAAACATTACTTGTAGCAGTCTACCATGAGAAGAATGGGTTTGGGGACCAAGTTTAGAGGAAAATGGCCTGAAAAACAAAGCATGAGGGATTTAGTGAGTTTCAATTGGAATAAAGAAGGCTTATTCATATTTCCTGGTAAAGTGGGAAAAAAGGTAGCAGTGTGCTAATAAAGTAAATGTGCTTATTTTTTCCTAGAATTAGACTATAAAGTAATTCAAGATTTGCTAGAATTTGATCGCCGACACTGCAGTGACTTTCATGGACCAGACGCACTCTTAACTGTCGGAAGATGGTCTTGAGCAGCGAGCAGAGTTCTGCAGAAAGTACTAGAGATCTGAGAGATAGCCAAGAGGAAAAACAGCTTACAGTGCCAGATTCTAAGTTATTCCCAGACCCTTTTGGGTCAAGGATTTTTGGCAGGGGAAGTTAGTACAGTAAAAGGAAAATGGCCTTTTGCTTGCTGCAGTCTGGTTTAAGAAGGTACCTCATAAGTACTTGGAGTCTTTTGAAGACATGCACATTTGTACCTGTGTAATGGAGAAGCCATTTTTCATGAGCTTGCACTAGGTTAATGTTCAGTGACAGATGATGATTTTGTAGTTTCTTCAGGAATTCATTGAATTGTTTATCAATAATTTGGAAATGGAAAATTAATCACTGTAGCAGAAACGAGGGAAACAGTGAAGGGATTAATTCAGGTAGAAGGCATGGATAGACAAATGCGAAAAGTAGCCGATGTAGAATAGAGAGAGGATTGCATTCTTTCGAAAAGGCTTCTATTTTAAGCTGATGACTTTGTCACCAGCAAAAATTTGTAGAGGAATAAGGATGGGGTACAAGAAGCTTACAGGAGTGAGTGGATGGGTGCAATGTTAGGCAAATTGTTGTCAAAGCACAACAAAGAATTCGGTTGAGAAGGTGGCTGGGATGAGCGTGTTATGTAAAGCTGGCTTAATTTAGGATGTGTTGGAGCTAAAAGTGGATTAAAAAAGTAGTTTCATACAGCTGTATTTAGGTGGAAAGTAGCATTCAAACCTAAACTTATTCTAAGAGGAGAGGGCACCTCCGACAACAGAATTTATACCTGCAGGAGCAGGCACCGTGCATTGCAGAAGGTGACCGATGTGCTGAAGGAGCCATTTACAAGGCTGCAATCTAGCAAGCGTCGAATGGATCAGTAGGTGTGAAGGTCTGCAGTAGATAGGTGGCAAGAAGAAAAGGGGATACCTCTCTCTCCTAACCCTGAGCTATCCTCTCCCAGACTTGGTGTTCCCAGTACCCTGGCAGCAGGCTTAGCTGCGATCACTGTGGGAATCTCTTGAGGCTTTTCCTGTTCTTTGAAAGAAAAATGGTCCTGGATTAAATGGCAGGAAGTGTCTGAGTCCTTTTAGCATCGATAAAAAGCACCGGCCTCACTGGCTGTTTACTGTGAGAGCCAGCTAGCTCCTCACTGACCCCATTGTGCCGTGCAGACTGTCGGGAGGGGAACCAGGGGTGTCAACTGGAACCCAGACTTTATCTCTCTTTCCTCTGCTTTTTGCATGTCCAGAGGCACTTTTTCTCATTCTCCAGAGAGCGGTGAGTCCAGCTACAGTCATCGGCCAGAACTCCTGACTGGGGTTATTTAGAGTCATAGTCGTTTGTAACTGTTCTTCCCAGGCCATAGGATCCCACTATATGCCCTTCTAGATAATTTATGTCCATATCCCTGTGTGGCTGGAGGCAGGGACTCTTTTTTTTCAGGCTGAAAGCCACACAGTACGATCTTACAGTTACTTTCTTTTTGGTCTGGTTCTCTTCTCTTGTTTAGTTCATATAGTGGTGAAGAACCCAAAACTTGCATCATAGGGAGAGTTGTTTGGCGTGAAGTCCAGGACCTCTATCTCCTGACTGGCCTAAAATGTTAAAAGTTCATTTGATGCTGTTAAAAAAAATAATAAAAAAAAATCCAAAACCACTGTCATTGGAAGCTTGCACTGATCATTAAAAAAAGGAAAATTTAGAATTGCAAATTTTGGAAATCCTGTTTAAAAAAGAAGCAAACCACCTAAAAGGGAATGAGAAATAGAAGTGAGAGAAATTAGAGGTGGAAGATACTGGGGTTTTTTCCTCTCTTGAATAGTTGTGGTGTTTTCTGAAGATGGCATGAATAAAGTAGTACATTTTCTGTTGCTGCTTTCCAGAATTTGTCCTGTGGAGCACTAGGTGGCAGGCTTTAAGCATGCAAAAACATTTCGTCTTGGGAAACACAATGGTATCAAGATAGCACACTTAAATATGCCATCTTAAAGTCAAATGGTTTTCTCTTCCAGAGATGATAAATCTTCTTTTGTTTGTTCTGTTTTGCTTTCAAAAAAAAAAACCTCACACCCCCCCAAAGAAAACTTTCTCACCAGTGCACTCTGCTCTGATGCTGAGATACTGGACAAATTATGAACTGTTAACAAGTTGCTAACACCGTCTGCAAATAAGTTAGTTACTTGTAATTTGCATTTTATTGCTATTTAAAAATAGTAGCTTACACAATGGAGACCTAAGGAGCCAGCAGCAAAGGACATGCATCATTTCCAGTTACCAAAACTTAATTCTACCTATTCATGCCTGTGTGAGAAAAACAGTAGCATTTTGCTTTTGGAAACTTGCTAGTGTGCTAATCTGAGCCAGTCGAGACTGACTTTTGAACAGACTCTGTTCTCTCAGTTTCCTTCCAGTCAGATGGCTTTAGCTTAATAATCATACTAGTTTGTAATGCATATCTAGACTTTTCATGTTGCTTCACTCAATTCACTCTGAAATAGCAAGCTTACCGATTAGAATAAAAGCAGAATGTCATGGCTGTATGGATTTAAAGGAAAGAATAACATTTTGTATAAAGAGTAAACATTCCTACCGTGCAGAGTTTTTCACTTATATAGATGTATTTTAAAACCAAATATCTAAGTAATTTCCATTTTTACCTAATTGCCTAAGTTCACTGTTTGGTTTTCCTTAGAAGAATGCATGAAACTAGTAACTATTTGTATGTAATTGAGACCAAGTTGTGTTCTAGAGATGAGTGTGTCATTATACATTACGTTGCACTTGGAACAAACGCCAGCCTGAACAGTGGGCTTGAGTTTTCCTTACAGTATCTCCTTGGACTGGCTCTCCAGTTGATGGATTCTCTAAGGTAGTTGCTAATGATTGAAGCAATGATGTAGCACTTGCTCCTGGCAAAGCATCAAGGTCACTATCGAAACGGGGAGCAAATTGGAGAAAAACAGTGACTGTCTTAGGCAGATATGCAAGAAAGAGCAGAGCTCTCTTGTCTTGAATTCTTAGCTAGTGAATTGCAGGAGCATGGCTCTAAACTTACCAAAGGAGAGAGCGTTCACAGCATTGGCTTATAGTGCAAACAGAATAGCTAATAATTTTAAGCAGTATTGACAAGTCACATTTTTTTTTGTTTCAGCAAGCAGGACTGTTGGCTGCATCTTCTGACGTCCTAATGTAGATCCCACTAATTCCAGCATCAAGTCCGTTATTTATATTTAAGCTAAAGGGATCTTAATTAAAATACTGAAGTGATGAAAAATCCACCACGTTTCTAGATATAAGTGTTGCTGTCTTGTTTTTCTTCATTATTGGAAGGATAAGAGGAAAGCATGCCTTGTTTTTGCAGTTTCAACAAATCACTGGATAATGTGCCCTTGTCTGCTGGTATAAAGTTCTCTTCTGTTGTTAAAACTTTTGTCCAAAAGAAGAACTCTGAGTAGTGCCAATTGCTCTTCGAAAAATTGAGATGGATCAAGTTTCTGAGCTCCCTCACTACAGGAAAAGGTTTTTAACACACTGAAATCTTGGAGATTTTTCCTGAACGCTTTCTGGCTTTTACAACCTTTCTGAAAGGCGTACTAAACCTAGTCTGGTTGTACATGCAAGAATCAAACTTAGCCCTCTGTGCCTCATCACTGAACTTAGGTACTTGTGGACTGTGTTGTCTGCCATGCTCGTAAGATATTTTTAGGAGTGCTGTTGTGTGATCTGTACTCCTCTGTTCCACTAGTATGAACGTGGTTTTAGCTATATTAAAATGCATGGTGCTCAGATGAATGAATTAATTTTTGTATATACCATTTTTTTAATTGGGATATTGTGCAAGACAGTTAACTGTCTTACAGAAAGCTGGATTTTTTTCAGCCTCTGAGTTAATGCGTTCTGTGCAACGAGAAGTGTGCAGAGTTGTTACCTGCTAGACATTAGAGAATGATACCTGCTAGACATGTCAAAAATATTTGGGTTCTGTACTAGCCTGCGCCATCTGCAGTTGTCAACTTTCCGTTTTGGCTGTGAACCTAAATTCATCATCCCAAAGAATAAAGAATCATCAGTGGCCTTTCCAACAGATAAGTTTTTTGGAAGAAAATTTCTCTTCATCCTCTTTCAACAGTCATGTATTGTTTACTGAAGTTTATGTACAGAATGTACAAACAGGAAGATCTCCTTCCTGAAAAATACTTCATGAGCAGTGCTGAAACAGAGAGGACATGAAGTATAAAATCTGAAGTGACTTAAAAGATTGCTATCTGGAAACATTGCTTAAACAAAACAAAACAAAAACCCCTGAAAAAGTGGAGGGCAGGGAAGGAAAAGAAAAGTTAAAGCAGTGCTGTGAAAAGGCTGTTATTTTACAGTGACCCAGAGAACTGTTCTTCACTTTCTGTGTTGGTAAGGGGGTTGATCTTTAAACTAGATCTGTGGAGGGAAAGTCTAAAGCTCAGCAGCAGGTAGCAGCAAATGTCCAAAGGGACAGCATTGTAATACATGAAGTGGAGAAAAATTTCTTCAGCTGTCAAGGCATGATGTGCATGTTGATCTGGTCAGAATGAATCCTTGGAGGAGGGAAATGGCTGTCCAAAGAAGGATTGAGTCCATACTTGTGAGGAGGTCAATCAGTGAGGAGTTTTTGCCAGGAGGGTATATTCATATACTTCTGTCTCAGCAAACAAAAGTAATTGTTAGCAGTGTGATTGTGTCAGCCAGAAGGGATGTTGCAGTTTCTTCCATCACAACTTGTTACTTCAGGGATTATAATGCAGTGAAATGCTGGGAAAACTTAGAAGTTAACTTGTTGCATGTAGCTGTTTTGGCTTTATTAGTTACCTGCTTTTCTTCAATTTCTTTTTAGACAAAGAGAGTCTGATCACTGACAGTGGAAAACTTCATGCTCTTGATCTTCTGTTGACACGGCTGAAATCTCAAGGACACAGAGTTCTCATCTACTCCCAGATGACGCGGATGATTGACTTACTGGAGGTAGGAGAGCTATAGCCTACAGAGGACAAATTCTGAAGATGCATATTTAGCAACAACGTTTTGGAGAAAATACTATAATTTGGTTGAAGCAAACCTGACATAAAATTATTGTACCGAAGGATACACAGTAAATGCATTAATATGAGAATGTAAGAGCTGCCATACCAAGTTATATGTAAGGTCCAGCGTAGCATTATGCTTCCACCAGTGTACGACAGCAGATGGTGTGGGGAAAATGTACAAGAATAGTGATACTTCACAATTAGTCTCTCAGTGTCCAGTAATTCACAGCTCAAGGGCTTTCTGAGCCAGATGTGCCTTCTGTATATTCAGTAATCGTAAACGGATTCTTCTTTCCTTAAATTGTTCATTTGCGTCTGGAGTCTTTGTAAATTTTTGTCATTTGCACTGCCTTGTGGCAGGGGTTTGCATGGCTTTATTATCCTCTTTTACTGGTTTTGAACTGCTGCCTTCGATTTTTATTTGATGCCCATGTGTCCTATTATTGGAAGCAAGAGGGAGAACAGTGGTTAATTTTGCATTGTTTATGTTGCTTGTAATTTCAGACTTTTACTGTTTCTCTCTGTCATCTAATTACTATGCAGAAGTTTGGTAGACTTAATAATAAGAGGTTCTCTGGTATATATGATAGGAAAGAAATCAGGAATTAAGTCATTACTCATTATTTAAATACAGTCAGTCTGCCTCAGAAGTAAAAATAAATAAATCAGTATTTGATTAGCAACCACACCACCAAAGAGGTAGTCTGAAGAGACATTAGTAGGAGAACTATTAATTTGGTTTCCTATTGGTAATACTTACAATGCGTAGAAAGAAATACTTTTATTTCTCTGGGCTTCTGTTGAAGACAGCAAAGTTTGAGTTTTTGGCTGGATCTGAAAAAAGGAGTATCTTGTCACAATGCCTCCGCCCCTTATCAGTGAAGGGTTAGTAGCAATAACTTCTGTAACTATCTCATTCTGAGCAAGGAAACAGGAGACTTAATGTAAGTTAAAGAGGCAATTCTGATAAAGTTTTCTGACTGAATACATAGTAGGTGGGACAATGTTTGCATTTGGCAGTATAATTTCAGTCCTGCTGAAACATCAAGATCTTGTGATCCTTCAGCCATTAGTCCGAGGTGTACATGGGCTTCCTCAGCAGTGTTTGACATGGGATGCTGTCTTCTCCACAGTAAAGCGAAGAGAAAAAGTGAGACACCTGAATCAATAGCTGTCTAAATCGTGAGTCCTCTATGAGCAGGAGTGCATTCAAGGTCAGCAGTTAATACTTCAATAACAAATAACAAGCTGAATTTTGTTTTTGCTGCTGTGAGGAAAACCAGAACTTCCATGGTTGCAATTCTGTGTTTTGGTGCTTTGCCCAGCATTGCTTCGTATGCCTCATTTTTTTGGCAGCAATGGACGTGATGCAGGTTTGTTGACACCCTGCATTACACCATGAAGCTCATAAAGCAGGTGTTCAGTGCTTCTGTCTTTTCTGTTAGCATTCCACGTTAAAGGTTTGGGAGTACACCATTTTGCTATTCCACCTCTTAAATGCTTGACTTTACGTGATGGGTTTTATTAGCCAAATAAGCCACCTACCAGGTCCTCTGTTTTTGCTTCTCCTCACCCGTGTAACAGAAGCGGGAGTTAAACAAGCTAAAAATTGAGTAAGGACTCAGTTTGTAAGAAAATCCTGCAAAAGTTGTTAAGCAGTAGATACTTTTTTTTTCCCTGACCTGAGATATGAAAATACATACCCTCTGCCTACTTGAATATGAAAGAGCATGAGATGTCCTATTTCCTTTAACATTATAGAATCATAGAATCATAGAAAGTTTTGGGTTGGAAGGGACCCCTAGAGGTCATCTAGTCCAACCCCCCCACAGCGAGCAGGGACACCGCTAACTAGATCAGGTTGCTCAGAGCCCTGTCCAACCTGGTCTTGAATGTTTCCAGGGATGGGGCCTCCACCACCTCTCTGGGCAGCCCGTTCCAGTGTATCACCACCCTCATTGTAAAGAATTTCTTCCTTATATCCAGCCTAAACCTACCCTGTTTTAGTTTAAAACCATTACCCCTCGTCCTGTCACTGCTGTCTCTACTAAAAAGATTGTCCCCATCCTTCCTATAGGCTCCCTTTAAGTACTGAAATGCCGCAATCAGGTCTCCCCGCAGCCTTCTCTTCTCCAGGCTGAACAAGCCCAACTCTCTCAGCCTGTCCCCATAGGAGAGGTGCTCCAGCCCTCGGATCATTTTTGTAGCCCTCCTTTGGACCCGCTCCAACAGTTCCATGTCCTTCTTGTGCTGAGGGCTCCAGAGCTGAACGCAGTACTCCAACCCCCAAGTCCCTCTCAGCAGAGCTGCTCTTGATCCTTTCATTCTCCAGCCTGTATTGATAATGGGGATTACCCCAACCCAGGTGTAGGACCTTGCACTTGGCCGTGTTGAACCTCATGAGGTTCACACAGGCCCAGCTCTCCAGCTTGTCCAGGTCCCTCTGGATGGCATCCCATCCTTCCGGTGTCTCAACCGTACCACTCAGCTTGGTGTCATCTGCAAACTTGCTGAGGGTACACTCGATGTCGCTGTCCATGTCATTGATAAATATATTGAACAGCACCGGTCCCAGTACAGACCCCTGAGGGACTCCACTTGTCACTGGTCTCCATCTGGACATTGAGCCGTTGACCACTACCCTTTGGTTGCGACCATCCAACCAATTCCTTATCCACTGAACGGTCCACCCATCAAATCCATGGCTCTCCAATTTAGAGAGAAGGATGTTGTGGGGGACCGTGTCAAAGGCTTTACAAAAATCCAGATAGATGACATCCATAGGTTTTCCCTTGTCCACCCTTGTTGTTACACCATCATAGAAAGCCACTAGGTTGGTGAGGCAAGACTTGCCCTTGGTGAAACCATGCTGGCTTATTTTGACTATGTCAGCGTAACTGCTGTGATACCGTACTAACCTAATCTATGCAGGGCAGAGATCACGAAACACGTTGTTTAAAAGTTATAAAACCATGTTTTTTTTGATTTAGCTTCAGCTGAACGACTGCTGCTTAATTCAGCCATTATAAAATGGCAGATATAAATACAAAGAGGAAAATTATTTTCTTTCAGCAGAGGGGATAAAGTATATTTTCAGAACTGTTATTTTATACTTTTTAAGGTTGTCATATTTGTTTTTCTCAGTGTGATTGCTTTCTCATATGTGGAAGAGCAATTGTCCATGATTTCAGTGGGGATCACATTGCATTCATGTGATGAGGGGTCAAATTATATTCTACATGAAGTAAACTGTCATAGTTACATTCTACCAAAAGTTTGTTAGTTGTGTTAAAACATAAGAGTACCCAGTTTGGACTATGAAATAATGTGAAGGGAAAACATCGTGTAGTTTTTGAGAAAGTGCCAGGCACTGTGTTCTTACCATACAGGACTCACTGTCTGTTGTTTGTTTCCTGTATAGGTACTCTGTTGCTAGGGCCACTTTCATAATTTTTCCTAGACTGATACTTCTGGTGGCTTGGTGAGCCCGTACACTAACCAAGATTGGCAGGTAGATATTTCAAGCGGGTCTAGTCTAAGTGTCTCTATATAGAGATTAAAGCCTCCCCATGAGGCTTCCCCTACCCCATCACTCCTTGTGGGAACTAGGAAAATGAGCAGTCATCAAGTGCTTTCCACAGAAACAGTCAAGACCAGACATGTTACTACTTAAATAGTTCCTTTGCCATCAGAGTGCTCTTTTTTCTTTTTTTTTTCTTTTAGCTAAAAGCGTGCCATTTCTGTGAGTGATCAAAGCACTAAAATGCTCGTGAGGATAGTAGAAGTGGCAATTTTTTTTTTCTTTTTTTCTGAATTGAAAGGGCGTACCATTAATATTGACAAAAATACTGGATAAAAACAGTTCATGAAAAAGGGTGTTTTGTTTGAGCACTGTTACACTACTGTGAAGTATCCTTCTTGATCAAAGGAAGGTGGATGGAGGCAGATGAGAACCTGTTAGCTAAAGGCTACTGTACTAAGCTAGTTTGTGAGGCAGGGGGAACAACTCATGAATGCCAGTATCACTGTTGCAGGATAGCTTATTCTTTTGTAATTTATGGCTTCGTGGAAATGTCTACGGTCTGGGGATAAGGATAAATGCATCTGATGGAGTGAAGGAAGTTATTTTCTATTTGTGCTGAAGTTTGTTTAGAAGACACTAATGAAGAGATGGTTAATAGTAAGATGAGGGAAGACTAAATCAAGATATTGAAAGGCTGAATCATCATAAAGACAGTAACAAAGAAATTGAAGGAAAAGGCCTTTGTGATAATAGAAAAAGGATTTGTCGAATCTGGAAAAAAGGTCACATAGTGCCTAATTGACAATTGTATCTCTCTGGATTTAGTTGATGACAGAAAACTGTCATAGAAGTGGAAGAAATCAATAGTGAATTAGTGCTTGAGGATCTGTGTGGTGAAGTATCTGTTCTGTGCTTGAAGCTTCTATTGTACTCCAGAAAACATACTAGCCATGAGCTCTGTTTTATAGAGTTAGACCAAGTGTGACTTTAGCCATTTCCACATTAATTTTATTTACCTATTTTTCTCTTCAATCTGCCATACATTGAAGCTTCTGTCCACTACAGCAGTCTTTTTCCCAGGTTTCTTATAGTATGGCAGCTCTTTCGCCTCTTCTGCAGTAGTGAAGCGGGACAAAAAAGGATCAGGAGCCCTGAAAGATAGGTGAAAAGGAGAACTGAGCATGGTACTGTCAGAAGGTTCATTAGAGTGCACTGCCATGTCTTCTCACAGCACATCAGTTCTGTATCTGCTGAACACTGCAGCTTGGAGCAAAATTAATCCAATAGTTCTTGCTGCAAAAGCACCATCTGTTTCCTTTCTGTCTTCATTTGCAGTCACAGCATCTCAAAAAGACACGTGCATCTGTAGGGTTAAATCTAATGAATGTACCCAGTCGGAGTTGCACCTCGTCAGCCAAGGTTCACATTGTTAAAATATCAGAGGGTATCTTCCCAGAGAAGCTCTGTGGAAATCTGTATAGCCTGAAGAGCTTTCTATGTAATTCAGATTTTATTGATAGTTGCACAAGTATCAGAAAATGCTGAGTACCTTAGAGCGTGAAAAATGTCTCTCATTAGAAGATGCCTTTGCCTACAGCACTCCTGGTTGCTGTCATTTGATTTGTGTCCCAGGCAATGGTTTCAGTTCTGCTGCTTGGCATGAGCTGTGAGCTGACACACCGATGTAGTGTTCAGAGCGTTCTTGTATGCAGTGAGATTCACAGGCTCTTTACCGGCGAGATAGAGCCTGGGCAGACACTCATGTACAGTACCAGGTTTTTAAAACCACTAGTCAAATGGTTAGAATTGACAAGGAGCAGATGCAGTTGGTTTGTTCAGAGAGGTTCGCTTCCACAGAGAAAGTTCAGGATTTAGTAAAAATTTCAACTTTGTGAAAACAAACTTCCTAATTTAGTTACTTCATTTTACGTATTTATTTATAGAAAAAGGCATGTACCACAATATTGTCTGCAGTGCAACAAATGCGTCCCCAGCTCTGAACTGACATCGTCATTTATCTCTTACATTAAATGCAAAAACTGACACATGATTGAATAGCTTTAATTTCTGAATTTCTGTTATTATAAAGTATTGCTTACAGCGTATTTGTTGATGACATTTAGGTATTTTGGGTTTTGTTGGGTTTGTTTGATTTGGTTTTGTAAGTATCGATTCTGCTTTTGTTGTTTTATCAAAAAAAATCAAGATTAAGCTGTTTCAAGAGCAACTATTTTTCTGGTGTGTTCTTTGCAGGAATACATGGTTTATAGGAAACATACCTACATGAGATTGGATGGTTCTTCAAAGATTTCTGAACGAAGGGACATGGTAGCAGATTTTCAGAACAGGTAATGTATTTTAGAAGGTGTTTCTGTGCTAAATTATGTGTACATAGAGAGTTGATATAAGATATAATGGAAATAAAAGAAATTTGCACTTAAACTATCTTTCCTGATATCAAATGGACCTCATTTATCTGAAGCAGTTTCTAGGTAGTTTGCTGACCAGGAGTCACTGGTGTTGATATTGAACCCAACTGTATTTAGGAATTTGTCATCTGTGAACTAGCATTGGAAGCAATTTTAGTGTACCCACCTTTAGTGCTTCTTGCCATTCCAAATATGCTGTTGCTTATAAAGAAGCTCATCAGAAAGGCAGCAAATGTTTGTTGGTAATCATATGCTGTGTCAGTTGACACTGTGAAGATGAGATTGAAAATCTTGCATATGCTAGAGCTTTGAAAGTGACCTAGTTTTCTGCAAAACAAACAATTTAAGCATGTTTTATTAAGAAACTTTAATATACAAGTGGTAAGATGGGGATTTTGTTAGATGGTAAGGTATGCTAACCCTTTTCATTTAGTAAATCAAAGTGGGTTCTTGCAATTTTTACAAGCACATCAGGAAAGAAGAGCGTGTAATCATCTTATTAAAAGTTAATATATTTTAGTATAACTTTGTGCTAGGGTGTGTTATTTATAATGACTGAGTTTATGGTTATTAAGTTTCCTTTTAATCATGGGATATGGCTTGATATGATGTCACTTTCGTATGGTAGTTCACAGTAAGGTTATCCTTCCTGGATGTTGAGGTAAGCTTGTAAGAAGGTCGCTTTTCTTTTTCAGAGGAATTGGCTTCATAGATTGTTGTTTATTGTGGCGTGAAAGCAACATTCCAGACTAGAGAATAGTCCTTGTGTTAGCGGTCCCAAGGTCCCTGCCCATGGCAGGGGAGTTGAAGCTAGGTAATCTAGAGAAGGTCCCTTCCAACCCAAACCATTCTGTGATTCTATGGTTCTGTCACAGCTGAAGATATGATGGGAAGCCATATACAGCCTTTCAGGCCAGTGGTTCATGAGGCTTAAAGACCTGAAGGACTGTGTTGCAGTGATGAGTCTGCTAGTGAACTCCTCGGAGTGATAAAACCTGAAACAGAGGTGTGCTAAATACCTGAAGCAAGAGGACTATGCAGTACCTTTCTGCCTGTTTCCATGTGTCAGAAACGGGTTCCTTGCAGATTATGCTGTCCTCTGGAACCCTGACTCTTCTTCCTTTAAGGTCCTTTAACCAGAAGAAGTGAAGAAATTTGTTTTTATTAATGAACAGAATTTGTTTTTATTAATGAATAGAACAACTGAAGAAAAATAATCATTTTGGCAGGAAATCCCTTTGAAATAGAGGTCAGCCAGTCTAAACAAGAATTCCTCTTAAAATGTTAGTTGAGTTCCTCTTACACATGATTTACTTATGAGAAATATTTCCAGGAAAAAAAGCCTGACAGACTAAACTGTCCTGCAGGATATCCTAGCAGGGTGCTGAAGGTGTATAGCTATGCAGTGATCATCTGTTCCTGTAGTCTGTGGCACTGTCCACTTTCTTTCCTTCCCATATGGCATTTCCAGAAGCATTTCACAGCTGGATGTTCAGGTGACTCTCTGTGTGCGCATTCCACTGTTGTTACAACAGTGAAAAGACTTCCTGGCCAAGGATTGCCTACATTGTGAACAGGCATCGGCTGACTCCTTTGGCTTTGTACCTGCAAGATAAAGTCTAGAGATTGACAGCTCGGCTTCAGTTTCTCCCAGCTGTCCATAGCTCAGGGTGGATTTTTGTACTCTTAGATTTTGGACTGCCAAAAACCTTCTATTTGTAATTTTATAGTTCTTGGCACTTTTTGTGTGTGTGTTAATTTATAGCTTTCATAATTATTTCTGTTATCTATTGGCCATTTCTTTAGGGGAGTGGGGGAAATCTTACCTTAGACCAGAACAGGTTGTTTGGAGTCTGTTTTTTACGATACAGTCTTGCCAGGTACTTGTGAATGTCTTGAAGTTTAAGTCCTGAAGAAATAGTCAATTTTACTTGACCTTCAAGGATATGGATTCCAAAACCCTTAGTTTTTCACATTTGTTGAGTTGTACTAGCATGTGCGTAATAGCCTGCAATACACCCACACTTCCTCCAGGATGGGCAAGAAAGACCTTTTAGATCTGATGAGTGGACTGTCAAGGACAGACTGCCTACACACAGTTAGTCAAGAAGGAAATGTCCCATGCTGCTCATTCAGCAAGAGTTCCTGGTGCTTTACTAATTTTGCGTGCACTGGTGTACAAACAGCGTGGTACCAAAAGGACGTGGCATTGCAGAGTGTCTTGTCTGAAGCAGAGGACCTTGCTCTGTCACTGTCGAAGTACAGTATGTTAGCCTCTTTGGAGTCCTTACTAGTACTGTCTGCTTTGTTTGCGTCAACCTGTTCACAGATCGATGTGGTGTTAAACATTTTTAAATACTGCTGACCCCCCATTGGCACTAGTGAGGTTCACAACCGTAGCAGAAATCCTAATTTCACTGTTACCACTTGAGTGAGATTTCATCAGTACTTGGTCATCCTACCTGTAGACCTGTCTCCTTGTTTGTTCTGTTCAAAGCACCAAATTTAGAGCAAAACTTGCGTCTACGCGATTTCAACATTTATTTTTCTTTCTTTATCAATTGAGCTTTGTTAAGGCAAGATGTTTTTAAAATCAGTCAGTTCTGTGAAACAATAAACTGTTCTTTGTCCGTATGAAATCTTAATTTCCAATGTGGGCAAGATAAACAAGCCTTGGTTTGTTTTGACAGAGATTAATAAGCTGTTATTGCAAACTGGATGTTTGCGTGTTCTGACAGTCCTGATTTGTAGATTCACTTCTCTCACTCATTCATATGGGTTTTTTCCTGACCATGAATGAACAGCACAGAATGTTCTGAAGTGTTCAAGTAATAGAAATAGCCCTGATCACTTTATATGGGTCAAAAATTTACTTCTGTGGTTATTTCTTTTTTATCATGTACAAAATAAGGGGCTTTTATTCTCTTTCCTCTACAGGAATGATATTTTTGTGTTCCTGTTAAGCACAAGAGCTGGAGGCTTGGGCATTAACCTTACAGCTGCAGATACGGTAGGTGAAGTTTGGTACAGTAATACAGAATTAAAAAAATCAGCTTACTGGTGTTTAGTTTTCAGTATACATACTTCTTTGCTTTTGCTGCCTCATAGGCCTCCAACCACCGTTTTTCCCACGCTGCTCATCTCCTGCCTCCCAGCTTCACAAGTTATGTAGGAAAATTGGTCTTTCTTCATGAAAGTTGGCACTGTCTTAGCCATGCTGATCAATATTTTTAGTACTGCCATTCACATCATGAAATTGCATAACCTTGTTTACTTTGCTTTTATTTACAATACAGTGTTATCTTGATGATAAAGTTGTAGAATATTGGACACGGTACACAGTTTTTGGTTGCAGCTGGAAGTACTTTCCTTCTCCCCCCATTCTTTAGTACCACTGTCTAGAAGGGAGTTGGGTGATTGAAGGGGTCTGCAGATGCAAATAACACTTTCATACAGTGAATGCTGTTTCATGTACGACTGTTTGCTCTTGTGCAAAAGAGTCAGTAGAACAGCTATCGGTTACCCTTTTTTCTGTCCACAGAAGAATGAAGCAATGCCTCTAAAAGTACAAAGTCATTTGTAGTTGGATGTGAGCTAGTCAGGAAGGATAAATTGCTTCCCCCTCTACTCGCCCAAGGTGTAAAAGCATACTGATTTAGGTGAATTACAAGGATTTGCACTCTGGAGCAGCTGCCGCTAGTCACTAGGGAAGGAATACTGACCTACATGAACCATTAATCTCTTCAGTAACAGCTATTCTTGTGCTTCTAGAAACCCAGTACCTTGCGTGCGTGCAGATTTGACCTCAAGACAGACTGTAATCCTTAGCCACACAAAACCCAAAGATCTCTGAATCAAAAATAATACATAATTATTTTTTAAATGCCCCGTCATATCTTCCTGTAACTTAAAAGAAATTGGGAGCAAGCAACTATCTGTAGGATTTTCAGACTGAAAAGTTCTCTCGATTGAAGTTGCTTCAACAGAGGAAATAAACAGATGGAAGGACAGGCATGTTCCTGCAGGCTCCTTGCACAAGCATTTTTGACTTCTGTGTTTTTGTAACTTTCTGAATACTTTACTTTGCTATCTAAGATTTTTTTCAGGTGTGGTTTTTTTTTTTTTTGTATGCTTACTGTGCATAAAGTACGGTTGGAAAGGTATGCAATATGAATGTGATGTGGCATTTCAGTTTTTTGTAGTAAAACTACTAGAAGTGTTCGACTAGACTTTACCCAGGTTTGAAAGAAAAAAAAATTGGAGTATTACTTTTTATGTGAAATTCTAATTTGATGGGCTTTTTCTTCTGAAGGTAAGTAACACTAAAATGGGTTCATGATGTGGTTACCCTATAATGAATTACATGAGTGATTTAATGTGGTGACAAACTTAGGAATTTTGTGCCTCCAAAGGAGATTTGTTAAAGAAGATATTCAAGACATTCTGTGGAAGTTGAAACATTCACAGTGTCCATTAGTTTGAATTAATGTGGATGCACTGGAAAAGACTTCGTAGGACTGGGCAAAGCTAGGTTAACACAGCGTGCAGTGGGGCGATAATTCTGTGGGGTATATAGCTAGCAGAACTTTTATTTTTATCAGTATATTGGATTTTTGTTCGTTTAATCACCAGGTGCTCTAAATGTATGGTTTTATTTAATCCTTTCTGTTCTGGTGTTCTTTTGCAGGTAATTTTCTATGACAGTGATTGGAACCCAACAGTAGACCAGCAAGCCATGGACCGGGCACACAGGCTGGGTCAAACAAAACAAGTCACTGTGTACCGGTTGATATGTAAAGGCACCATTGAGGAGCGCATCTTACAAAGGGCTAAGGAAAAGAGTGAGGTAGGAACAAAGAAATAATCTGGAACAAGAAATTACAGAAACAGTATCAGGAAAAACGTATCAAAATGAGTAAAGAAACAGAAAAAATATCTGCAGGGAGACAGAAGAGAAGCCAAAAGGGAATGTCTTTGTTCAAATAAACAAATCTGCGTCCCTAACACAGCAGCATTACAGCTGCATTATATGAACTCGGAAGAAACTAATTATTTACACTATGACTTCATGAGAACTATTTCTTACGATGCAATGAAACTACTCAGGCTTCTTTAAGACTAGAGCTTCTTTAAGCTCTTAGGGCTACAGATTTCTCTCATGTTATACTGTTATACCACAGCTGATTTTTTTTTTCAAGAAATCTGGAAGATAATAAAGTGAAAATTATTTGAGGTGTGAGGGTTGCCAGAAGAGCTCAGTGTCTTGCAGCATCAAGCAGTAAGTGTATTAGAAACTTTAAACCTCATGACACTTTATTGGCAAGAAAAAATGAAGCGGATTCGCTTTCTTTGGTAGCAGTAGATATACTATATACAACATTCAGATGTTTTGTGTACTTGGGGTTTCTTTTGTCTGAATTAGATGCTGATCATGGTGCTGCAGCAACTGAAGCATCTCCAGCTGCATGCATTCACGTTGAAACTTGTTGAAACTTAGCCATTTTCTCTAGGATACTGCACTAGAGTCACCCAATACCAACCTGAATATAAAGTGTGTCTTTTTGCTGGTGATCCAAATCATCAAAATTGGCTTATGCTAAAGCTTGTTCTCTTGCTAAGTTACAACTCTTCTTGGTGTTTTTTTTTAAATATAGTGCCATTAATAGAAGTTGAGTGAATTGCTTAAACTGAGACACTGACTCAGTATGGAGATTTAGTTTCCAGCCAAGGAGACTAAAAATGTTGTACCCTGTAAAAATGTGATCTGCATGATCCTCTGCGCAGATGACTTGAAAATTTGGACTGGTAATTTATACCTAGCAGGAGTATATTTTTCTTTTTGTTCAGCAGTATACTGTTATCATTTGTTAATACTATTAATACTATTGTTAATCATTTGTTGTTTATTACATAGTGCTTGAGAAGAAGTGCAGCTTTGCACAAGGGATGGCAATTTTCTGCTTTCTAGCTCAGTTGCTTATATTTTATACTCTTAATCATACTCTTAATAAATCTTCCCTGTAATTTTGCTACTGACTTTGGTATGATAGAGAAGTTGAGTCAATTCTGATTTACACAGATGCACTGGCATCTTTTTTGGCTGGCTTTCAGTGAAGGGTTGTGAGAATGGTTCGAGGCTGCTTCGAATAATTTTTCCCTTTTGTTTTCTCTCTTGTTTTTTTCCTTCTAGATCCAACGAATGGTGATTTCAGGTGGCAATTTCAAACCTGACACCTTGAAGCCAAAAGAGGTGGTCAGCCTTCTGCTGGATGATGAGGAACTAGAAAAGAAATGTATGTGCAGTTTGTGTAGCAGCATCTTCCCCGTCTTCCACTTCATTAGCTTATGAAATCTGTGTTTTTATCTCTACAAACACATGTATTGCTGATAACAACTTCTGTTTCCTGGCTCTCTTTGTCTTGCCAACTCTTGTTAGTACAAGCTGATTTCATATCACTGCTGAGCTGAAAGATGAAGGTGCACAAGAGAGACGTGATCAAGCTTTTATTGGCACTCCTTCAGGATCAATACATTGTTCCTGAATGACAGAGCTTTGACAAGAATTATGTAGGTCATGACAAGAAAAGTATTAGTAAAAATGCTGTATTTCATCATACTTTTGAAGCTGTATTAAAGGTACATGCTGTTATGTTCTTGAAAGAAGAACTTCACTGGAAGACTTTTTAGTAATTTGGATACAAATAGTTTTAATACAGTAGTGTTTTCAGTGTGTTTTAGTTTTAATACAGCTGACTTTTCTGCACAGTTCTGTCAGAACTAGAAGTTCTTTCAAGAAGATTCACAAAAGGATATGAAATGTCTTTCCAGTGGTGACGACTTTGTATTTCTTTTCTGACAGTGCGTCAGCGTCAAGAAGAGAAGCGACAGCAAGAAGAAACGAATCGTGTGAAGGAACGTAAACGTAAAAGGGAAAAATATGCTGAAAAGGTACTTTGATGCAAAGGGGTTGATGGTGTCAGTGACAGAGCCAGAAGAGCTTCAGGCTCAGTGTTGTGTGGTGTGGAAATGTTTTCTGCAAAGGCAGTCTAATGAGTAAAGCCTTTTTCCCTTCACCATTGAACAGCAGTCTGTGGCACTTCCTTACACAGAAGAGGGATATTACAAAATATATTATGCATAGTTAGCTGTATTTTAATATCATTAGCAACTTGAAAAATAAGGAAGTACTGCGCACCCAAACAACACTGTCAATCACCAGTAGTCTACAGACAACCATTTGAGGACTCATGCTTGAATAAATGATCAACTGATCATTCTGTGGCGTATAAAATGCTGACTTAATCAAGATTTTGTTCTGTAAGGACAAAAGGGAATGTAAATGAAACACCAAACACAAATAAAACCTGTATAGCTATGTGGCTTCCATGGAACAAGGGAAGATCAGTTTGTTTAAAAAAGATCATTAAAACTAGTGTATGAAAATTGTGAATTTTGGAGGCAGGGAGGCTTTGCATTAATTGTTGGAATTTTGTGTATGTTAAAGCATGTCAAGCTCATTCCAAAAGGTAATGGAAATCAAAGTAATTCTGTAACAGTAATTCTCCATCATTCCAGCTACCTTAGGAAGGAAAAAAAAAACAAAACACCCTACTTAAATCTAAAGGAGGAACCTTTAAGGGATCTGTTACTGTGTCCTTCAGAAACTTGTTTTGGGAAATTCTGGACCTGGCATTCTGGAGTTACAATGCTGCATTAGATGTTGAGATTTTGGGTTGCTTATTCCCTTTCTTATGTTTTATCATCTTTTTCATTCCTGGTATTGTTTTATTTATTTCAGAAGAAGAAGGAGGATGAATTGGATGGGAAGAGAAAGAAAGAGAGCATGAACCTTGTGATCCCATTTGTTCCCTCGGCTGATAACTCCAACCTGTCTGCTGATGGGGATGACTCCTTCATTAGTGTAGACTCTGCCATGCCCAGCCCTTTCAGTGAGGTAAGCCTCACTGCTGCTTGAAACTATATACTGTTTCTGTTGTGGCCTTACATCCTGTAGGATTCTTGCTTTCTGTTATTTTAGCTAGTGTAGAACTTCGAGTATGTGGGGAAGTGAAATGTCTTAAAGGTGAACCATGGAAATTTGTTGAAAACGTAACAGCAGCTAAGAAGCTGCCTTACAGCTCCTCATGTTATTTGACATTCTGTTATTCCCCTCTGCGTTTGCTCTCTGCCTCCCCTTTCTTACAGCAGGCTCGTACCCTCACTGTCCTCCTTTTCAGCCCCAGAAATTTTTCCATTCCTGCCTGCAGTCCCACTTAATTTCTTCTCCCTTTTTCCTGCCTTTGTTAGTGTGGTTTTTCTCTGCAATTTAATAGTAAGTTCTCAGTGGCACACACCTTATTTTCTTTCGTCCTTTTGTAAAGAATTGCAGACCAGTTTTGGCGGCAAGTATGTTCTGTTCTACAGATTTCTACGTTGCATTGTTTCCATATTGGCAAAGATTTGTATTAACAGTAGTAGTATGTTAAGAATCATATTGTTTCCTCTCTTGCAGTTGAAGATGCACAGTTGAACAGCAGTTTTCTTAAATTTCTGCTGAGCCCAGTAGTCTCCTACTTCTTAACATCTATTTTCATGAATTGAAATTCAGTAGCTTCTAGTCTTTACTGCTGCTCAGCATGTAAATAGAGGGTGTGGTGTGATTAGGCAGATTATGTATCATGCTGCTAGTCTCACACAGAGAAAATGAGAGAGCACAGAACAAGTACCAATTAATTACTTGTGATTGGATGTCTCTTAAGGATCTTATTATGTTTGTACCCTTCCCTTTCCTAACCTGAGAAGCTAACGGCTTTGTTCTGTGTCATGTTTAGATATCCATCAGCAGTGAATTACATATGGGCTCTATCCCTCCCGATGAGAGCAGTAGTGATATGCTTGTGATTGTGGATGATCCAGCTTCTTCAGCACCTCAGTCAAGGGCAACAAACTCTCCTGCTTCCATTACTGGCTCAGTTTCAGATACCATGAATGGTCAGTACTTTTTCCTTGACTTAGTACTAACGTTTATTGAACATTGACTTTATATGGCTAGGTTATACATTTTCTGCGTTTTAGCCAGAGTATATGAATGGTTGGCAAGATTTGGGGGAAAAAATGCCTTTTCATTGAGAAATTGCTTCGGATTTGATAGCAAATCTGTTTATAGTCTCTCATTCACCACACTTTTCCTCTTTTCTGTGTTAGTTGCTCTTAAAAGTTTTGTGCTTTGTTTTTGTGTTGTAGAGGGCTCTCCTTCCATTATGTGCATACTCCCAAATTATAGACAACCACAGAACTATTAATCTCTAAGCTTTCCCTTGAATTTGCTGTTGGGCTTATAATCAGTTCTGTATTTCCAAAGGGTGATTGGAGCCGCTGTATGGAGCGGCCATATTAAATAATGGCAAATGTTTTTAACTACCATAGTTTTCTGCACTGAAATAAGTAGAGCCATAGTTCTTGACGAGTTTCTTTAGAGGTTGCAAATGGAAGAAACTTCACATCTATCTTCAAATAAGAAAATGCTTCATCCTGCAGTCGAAGCCAGAATCCTCCACCTATTTGTGGATTGGATTCATAGTAGTAATAAGTAGTTGGAGTTAATAAGATCTGAGTGAAGTTGATAAGAAGAGTGAAGTTTTGTATACGTAATTTCTTTTCATGGGATCACTGCTTGCTAACAGTGTTAATGTAGATGAACAGTGTCAGTTAACAGGAACAATATTAATGTAAATGGTAGGTAGTTATGGTGCTGTATTAATTTGTGAGTCATCAGTAATACTGTAGCAGTTATTGCTTTAACATTCTTTTTTTGTTCAGGTGTTTCAATGCAAGACACACCTCTCGCTGGGAGAGGTCAGTCAAGTCGAAGTCGGGGTCGTCCCAAAGGTTCAGGCAGTGGATCAAAAGGCGGCACTGGGAAAGGCAGAAGCCGGAAATCAATAGCAGGAAGCGCAGCTGCAATGGCAGGTGCCAAAGCAGGG